CGCATGGCTGTTAGTGAACCACCTGCAGGTCTCTCCTCCCCTTGTGAAAACAGGTGTTGCAGAATGGAATGGTACCTTGGCTTCCTTTCGCTTCCTTCCAAACTGCTTTCTCTGAGAGACAGAGAGCAAAGGAGGCAAGTCAGAAGGCAAGGAGTGTCTCAGCAGAGAGCTGAGTGTCTCCTAGCTTCCAGACTCCACCTCTGGTCTGTGCAGGAATGGAGTGTGGGGATAACAGGGCAGGAGTGACAGGTGATGAGAACTTACAAAAGTCAACATGGGTAATCTATCGCCTTTCTCTGCATTTTCTAGACTTTCAGCCTGGAGGGATTGTCTCCTTAATTGCATTCCACTTTCTGGGCTTAAGTTTGGGTGGTGCTGAATGAGACAAAATGACAGACACAAGGCGCACATCTGTGTGCAGAGGTGCATATGCATCCATCTGTGGACTCATAGATTGCATTTCTCTCCAGCCTGTCTCCATCTCCTCCTTTGCGGGAAATAAAAGGACCACTGGGCTGAGGCTCGAATCTCCTTAGCAGAGAGAATTCTGGGTGTCATGGTTTCCATAAAGGAACACAATCTCCCCATGGGGTGTAATTACATCTTAGCTTTCTGCAGAAGAATAGTTTATGGCTTAAATGCTATTAATTGTAAGCCGTTTTGTTCCACAGGAAGTTGTTCATTGATAACCACCCAATTAGGGTTATTTTGCAATTAGTCTATTCACAGTAAATTTATTGTGAAAGGGGGAGACTGTGATGTAGGAAATTAAAGTATTGCTGGGCTTAGGATGCAATTGCTCTTGAGTGCCAGTCTTATTAATCAGTTCAGAGGTCCCAGGAGGGCATCCCACCTTGTCCATGGTAGCAAACACATCAGGCAGTCCCCAGCAAACTCAAGTTGCCAAACCAGGTTGGAGATGTCTTGGCAAGACTAGGAAATGAGTGGAAATTCCTGGCTTTTGGCGGTGACATTTTCATTATATCAGATAGCTGTGGCCCAGGCACCCTCCGAGATAGATGTGATTTTGTTCATCTTCCCTGTACAGATGGAGACACCAAGGCACAGAGAAGTCAAGCAACTTGCCCCAAGTCTCACAGCATGAACAGGGGAGATGGGGTATTTGGATCCAAACAATACAGGATCCATGGTCCTCATCACTGGCAACATCAGTTTCCCTGCTTTTCCTACTAGCGTTCTTGCTTCTTTCACACAATTCTACTGAGGACAGAGGAGTATAGCTTCTAGGCAGCAAACTTCTCTGACAATTTGTGCAAAAATGAAACCTTTTGCTTCCTGAAGAGGGACAGACATATGGAAAGGGACGCAGATTCTGTTACCTGAGTTCCAATACCAGCTCTGCCATCTACCAGCCATGCACCTTCAGCCAAGACCTAAACCTCTCTGAACCTCAGTTTCTTCATCAACAAATGGGTCCATAACAGCCATACCACATGGGACTCAAAAGAGGACTCTGTGTGCTAAGACAGAGTGTTTATTTGCTACTAGAGATGGTCCCTGACTTACGATGGTTTGACTTAATGCTTTTTCAACTTCACAATGACGTGAAAGTAAACCCATACAACCGTTCTGTTTCTCACCTTCAGTACAGCGTTCAATAAATTCCACGAGACAGTCATCCCTTTGTTGTGAAGCAGCTTTGCGCCTGATGACTTCACCCAAGTGCAGGCTGATCTAAGTGTTCTCAGTTCAGTGCAGGTGGGTGAGGCAGAGCTGTGATGTTCACTGGCTCGTGTGTGTTAAATCGACTTTTGATTTAATGTCATTTCCAGCACACGATGGATTTATGGAGATGTCGCCCTACCACAAGTTGGAGAGCATCTGTATACAGTGTTAGTATTTAATAGGAGACAGTAAAACACACCTCTCCCTGACCCCTGGCTATGTTTGAGAATTAAGTTTTATCAGAAGATAGCCCAGTGCATTTGTGTGTGTGTTCTTGCTACAACAGAGCTCAGCAGGTGTGACAGAGATGGTGTGGTCCACCAGGCCTCAAATATTTGCCATTTGGCCCTTTGGTGGAACAGGTGCCATCCCAGGGACATAGCGGGAACCTAATACTATTTTCACAGATGGGCATTTGACTCAGGTCTCCAAACATCCCTGCCAGGCCCTGGCTAACAAAAGATTTTGGAAATGTCACACTCCATTTAATTATTCTTATGCTCCACGTGCCAAGTCCCATGGCGAATACAGAAGGGAACCACCTGGACTACTTACACCAGAGGGAAGTGAAAAGGGAGAAGTGAAGATTTTCCTTCTAATCTCTGTGTTGAAGAGAAAGCACTGTATAGATACTCTCACAAATGCTGCTGAAAGCTGAACAGATAAAGAAAAGCTTGATTAAAAAGTTAAAGTTGTTCCCACTCTTATGCCATCCCTGCAAGTGGGACTCACGGTTTGCTGTGCATCACTCCAGCCCTCTCTGTGCACCTGTCTGATCCAAGTCCTATATTCTGTGACTACAGGTGAACACAGAGGCACAGACACTTGTGTGTGTGTCTCTTTGGTATCCAGGACCCCAAGGATACCAAAATCCCAAGGTCCTTTGAGAGAATGTTCAAGTCCCTCAAATAAAATGATACAGTATCTGCAAGGAATCTATCTTCCTGTATACATTCAACCCTCTCTGGGCTACTTATGATAACCTATCCAATGTCAATGCTGTGAAAATAGTTACTAGTTTGTATGGCTTAGGGAATGATGACAAGAAACAAAGCCTAGGTTTAAGACAGACAAAATTTCTTTCTTTCTTTCTTTTTTTTTTTTGTATTTTCAACCCCTAGTTTCTTGATGGTACTGGGGTTTGAACTCAGGACCTTGTGCTTGCTAGGCAGGTGCTCTACCACTGGAGCCACTCTGCTAGCCATTCAAGCTACAGTTTCTTGAACCCCTGTATGTAGAACTCATGGATACGAAGGCTGGTTGCATTTGAAGTAAGGAAGCTTCTGGTGAACCTGAGACCTTGCTCAAGTTTCTTCTCCTGTCTTGGCCTCATATTCTTGTCTGTCCAAGTGAAACAGATGAATGAAGATTTTGGGGCATCTTTCCAGAAGCCCTTCTCGCCATGCACCCCCATTCTGTACCCAGAGCTGGGATACTGAGGGACTGCTGTGCCAGGAGGCCACCGGGCCAGGCCCTGTCTGACTCCCAAACGCACCCACATGGAGGGATCTGAAAGCCCCCATGCTGCACTTGGCTTCCTTGATTCTCAGACCTCTACCTTGACGTTGAGGAGGCCTCAGCACCTCAGTGCGTCCATTCCTGTACCACCTGTTGAACCTAGACCCATACTCACCTCTATCCAGGGCTTTCTATATGTCTTTCTCTAGCACAGCCCTGGGGAACACTGGGTGGCCTCGCTATTGTTGTCAGTGACAATCTGCAGTCCTTTTCCCTCACTTTGGAACAAAGGAAAGCATTTGCAGATTTGAATCTAGAAGCAACAAGGAGGTATTCTGAAGTAGCCCGGGTTAATTTGTGAGGGATATGGGACACCCTATGCCTTGCAGTGTGACACAATAACAATGATGGGTGGCCAGGAGGTAACAGTGGAGTAATCTCCAAGGGAAATTGACTGGGAAGATGCCTGGGATGCTTAAATGCCACTGCTCCATGGAGGGATGAAGACCGCAGAGGGGCACCTCCCTATTTTTGGCAAATGACCTTGAACTTAAACACATCTCTTTGTTTCAAATGTGTTCCTCTCTGTCCTAGTGGCACTGTCTCTCTTCTTTGTAGAAGTGTCTCGTGGATTCTCTGTGGCCTGGTACTCGGAGAGAACCCCTGGGCAAATGATTGCAAATGGACAAGCTCTTCTCCCCAGAGAAATAAAACACGCCAGGGCTCCTGAGCCAGCTGGAGTAAGCTGGCGAGGGAAGAGAAGTTGGGGGCATGCCTGGGGTAATGGAGTCCCTGAGCTGATATCACCCCTCAGTGATGGCACATGAGGGTCCTTCCCACTGCAGGATGAGTTAGAAGCACTCTGCTAATATTTACATACTAAGGAAAAAGGGGGAATCTTAAGGAAAGAAGACTTAATCCAGGCTGGCACATTTCAGTCTCAGGATGCCTCAGTGTGCAATCCTACAAAGTCGCTTACCTGTTGTGTGACCTTGAGGAAGTGATTTTACATCTCTCACCTGAGCACAATTAGGCTATAGCCCTCAGTGTTAACCTCACAGGGAGTGGGGCATCCCCCACAGTGCTCAGTGACTCTCAATCAATGCCTGCTGCCACTGCTGCTACTCCCTCCCAGGACACTGGGGAGGGTGAAGGTCGCCACCAAGATACAGTGGTTCCACATGCAAAGAAATCAGTGCGAAAGCCACCAGTGCAAGACCAGTCCCTTATCTTCTCAGCTGACCTCTGATCACACCCTGTGTCTAGCAAGAGATTCGATTTATCACTGGGCCACTGACACACAAGAATGTCAGCACAGGGGAGAGGGTAAGGGAAGAAGGGAAAAAGGAAGGAAGGAAGGAAGGAAGGGAAGGAAGAAAAAGAGGAGGAGGAAAATAAGGAGGTAGATTAAGAAAGAAGGCGGGAGGGAGAGAAGGGAGAAAATGAAGGGATGGAAGAAGGAGTGAGGGAAGGAAAGGAGAAGGGAAGGAGGAGAGAAGGAAGGATGGGGAAGAAAATGGGAAGGGTTCACTGAGACCTGAAGTCACCATAGACAACCAGAAGCCTCTGAGTCATACTTAATTACAATAGCATCCATGTCAATTCTAATCCCGAAACTACTGAGAACTGAGCCCTCTCCATCCAGCCACTTGCAACTTGCACCTTTTCCCAATTTCATTGTAATTTTACCCACTGTCATAAAGTCAACGGGTTAAAGTGTTAAGAAAAGGTAACTTCATTTTGCAAACCTTCTCTTGTAGCGGATTTCAGGAATTCAGAGTCCCCACACAAACCAGACCTTGGCAGAAGGTGGAAGACAGGAGAGGATGGGCTGGGGGCAGATGGAAAGAACTCACCCTCCAGGGGACAGAAGCGAGTGACCTTCTCGGGCATCAGCAGCCCCAGCTTGTGGCGACAGTAGGTCTCCCCGATCTCCTGGCGGCAGTGCTTGGACTTAGTGCGGGACAGGGCGGAGATGGCCTCTTTGCCCGAGATGTCACACTTGGGTGGCTGGTCGTACTTGGTCTCAGGGGAGCTGCCACCACTTTTCCTGGTGTGGGACTGTCTGGGGACATCTTTCCCTCGGCTGCTGTTGGCTATGGCTCTCTCACTGGGAGGCAGCACCTCACTGGGGCCTTTCCCCAGTACTGAATGCCCCTGTCCTTTGTCCTGTAGCTCCTGCTTCCTCTGCAAACGCTCCTTCTGCCGACTTGGAGGTCTCTTTGCTGACTCAGGCTGGTGCTTCTGCTTCTGAGTCCTAGGTGCAAAGTTACTATTGTCCACATTCTCAAAATCCTTAGGGACTGAGTTCTCATTGTTGCTGTCTGTTCGCACTTTCTCTTTGGGCCGGTGAAAGAAGTAACCATCCTGGAGAAGACCGGGAAGAAATACAGAAAAGAAATTTCACTGAGCTATCACTCTAAGTAGAGTTAAGACATAAGGACTGAGTGTGGTGGTACACACCTGGGAAGCTACTTGGGAGGCAGAGTTAGGAGGACTGTGGTCAAAGTCCAGGCTGGGAGAAAGCATGAGATCCTATCTGAAAACCAAACTAAAAGCAAAAGTACTGGAGGTATGGCTCAAGTAGTAGAGAGCTTGTCTAGCTAGCATAAAGCCCAGAGTTCAAAACCCCAGTACCATCAAATAACAAAAAAAAAAAAAAGTGGGACATACAGGTTTAGAAAACTGAGCCAAAGTTTCTCTTCTGACCTTTGCTACTGGCTGAAACCCTTTCCTTTCTGGGTCTCAGGATCCCCATCTGAGTAGATGAGATATTTCAATTAAAAGCTAAGGCTTTTGCAAGCTCCCAGTGACTGGTGCTATGCCTACAGTTCTCAGTGGTTGTGCCAGTTTCTTTCCATCTATGTCTCTGCCATTGGGCACCAATTTTTTGTTCCAGCTTCCTGTTTAAATTCCAGCAGAAAGTTCTTTGATGGTTTATTGAAGGGCTGGAAATGACATAATAAAGTTAGAAAGGGAGAAAATATTGGTAGGATATTATATACATCCCATTGCCTTTGGAATGCGCTCATATATCTACGCCCATAAGAGAAATCAGACTTGAGCCATTGCCAATTCTGTGGGAACGACAGCTAACCAGGTACAGCCTGTGCAGGATGAAGCTGGTGCCGGGTCTCTGGAGGGATGCAAACCTGCCTCACTCTTGGGCTTGAGTTTTAGCTTTTGGTGTTGGTACCTGGAGCAGAAGAGATTTAAGTCACTGGGGGTCAAAAGAAAGGTCAAATCACTGGAGACAGTGCATGGCATGGATCTTTCTAGAAAGGTAGCTTCCTACACTCAGTGCCTCCATGGGTGAAGGGGGATCCTGATCGTTTTGAGTTCAGATCAAATGCCTCAAATTGCTTCTGGAACATGTCGCTTCTGCTTTGAGCCCATTCCCAAGGCTTCAACTTGTACAAGTATCCACTGGACACCCCAAGAGTGGATTCCCCCAAAGCCACAAGTGGTTTTGTAATGTAAGTGGTCCATTGGTCACAAGTCATATCCCTATTAGCTTCCCTTTTAAGGAAGGCTGGACTGTGCCTCTTAACCTTTCCCACAGAAGAAGTGGGAAATAAACCATGGAGCTGTGCTGAGTATGAAAGTGGCTGATGGCAGGTGACACTCGGCAAGGCTCCCTCTCCGGCAGGTCAGCAAATTACAGCCCATGGGCCAAATCCAGCCCACCACCTGCTTTTATAAATAAAGTTTTATTGAAACACAGCTACACCTGTTCATTTATGCATTGTCTATGACGGCTTTCAGGTGACAACTGCAGAGTGAGTCTTTGCTATGGAGACTCTTGTCTGGCCTGTGAAGCATAAAATATTTCTGCCTGGCTCTCTAAGAGAACGTATGCAGACCCCTGCTCTGCAGGAGGGTGAGTTTCAAAGCCCACCTCCTCTGGAGTTTGTTTAGCTCCTTGTCTTTATTGTCCCCATTTGGCTCATCTGTGGTCTCTAGAAGGAGCCATCTATGATTACCTTTTCCTGCTTCTGCCCTACCTCACCTGGCATTAAGCACTAATTTCTCCTGTTTAGTGAAGGCAGTGACAATGAACACAGACAATAGGATAGCTCATGGTCACTCTATAAGGTATTGCTATACATATCGACAGATGGAGAACTGAGTATCGGCTAACAAGCGACTTGCCCAAGATAACCCAATGGTGAAGCTCAAATTCACACCAGACAGACCACAGATGCTATGAGCTGGGCTGCCAGTCACACCATCCACTTCCAAGAAGCCACAGACCACTTTTCACATCACACTCCACCCTGTAAGCACCACAGGCTGCCTCTGTACCACATGGTGTGGCCCCTCCTGGTCCTCTACCCAGATGAAAGGATCTGCCATAGGTGTGGACCCCAAACAGCCATCTCAAGGCTGACCAGGGGCTACTATGTTACAGTAGTCCCAGAGAGAGGGGACAATGAGCAAGGGACAACAAGCACTAGGGTTAGGGCCACAGGAACTGGGGGGGGGGGCAACAAGGATATAAAACTGAGAGGGAATGGTGGGCTGTGTCCTATGGGTCTCAGAGTGGCTGTTGACACACAGAAGTAGCTATTATAGTCATCCCTGGATATCTTGAGGATACCCACACCTCCAAATGCTCCAGTCCCTTACATAAAATGGCACAGTGTTTGCATGGAACCTACACACATCCCGACATATACTTTAAAGCATCTCTAGATCACTGAAAATACCTAACGGAAGTGCTATGTAAACAGTTGTTATGGTGCATCGTTTAGGAAATAATGAAAGGGTCAGTGTTCAGTACAGACACACTTTTCTTCGGTTTTTTTGAGTATTTTCTACCCACGATTGGTTGAAACCACATACGTGGATCCACAGCTATGGAGGGCCGGCTGTACACCTTGATTGGCCAGTGAGAACCTTCTGGTTCCAGTCTTTTCTATTTTCCCACAGAGAGTGGCCATAACTCCAGACATCCAGGTGCTTATAACCCACCATGCCCTGCTAATATTCCTCCTCCCTGACTGTCTAACTAGAGGCCTTTCAGAGATCTCTTGGGTGGTGCATTCTCTGAGTACTTACCAAGAGCAGGTACCCTGGCAACTGGCTCACAGGGACTATTCCTCGGACAGTGACAATGGCCACATAAGGAGGAAACCCCACCTTTTACAGAGAGCAGCCAAGGCTTGTTGCATAACTTTCCTGACTATGTCCCATGGGCTAGGGACCTCGCCAAGCCCTCCCATGGATGCCTCATTTTGTGTGTGTGTGATTCCAACAGACAGAAGATCAGTTCAACGGCTGCCACTCCTCAACAATGTGAATTTCAATTCTTTCCTTAGCCTGATTCCTAGACGTTGACCAGAGGCAGGGAGTTTGAGGAAGGAGCCACGGGCCTTACCAACAGCCACACTCTCTCTTTTCAGACACAGCCTTAGAATTATTCCTGGGCTCTTTTCTCCTCATTTATAAATGATGGGCAGAACTTTACAAGCAAAAGTAAACACAAGAACTCTGTGTCTCCATCTGCCACAGCCAATGATGCTAATCTGACAATCCAAGAATGGCCGCCGGCCGATGTGTAATATCACAGACAAGCACCACCATTGCTCCCAACACAGCTCATGATTAATGTGCACTGTCTACTCAGAGAGGCTACCGCAGTGGGGACAATGGGGTCAGGGTGGCCCTGCGGCCTCTACCTGCCTCAGATGCTACCCAGGTGCTGTGGGAAATGAAAAGATCTGAGTGTAAGAAGGAAGGGCGGTGTTTTGTCTTCTGGAGTGAAGAGCTACAGGTATTTGATAGCTTCTAGAAAAGTCAGTGAGAGGCACAGTCAGGCAACATTCAGAGGCCTGAGAATTCCTGTCACCAGGAGTTAATGCTGCTTTCTAAAGTTTTCTGTCACTTTACCCCAACTCTGCTCTTTTTTTAAAAATTATTCTGTATGGGATTAAAATTTTAATTAAATCGAAATTTTTTTTTTTTTTGAGATCTGCCCTATCTGCAGTTTTTAAGTGTGCAGCAGAATATTCTTGACCCTATGGAGACTTTGCCCTTCGATTGGCTGCTCCCCGATCACCCCGCCCCCCCCAGCCCTTGGCCATCGCCATTCTACTGCCTGATTCCATGCATTGACTCTGCAGTATTTCACTTACAATGTCCTCAAGATTCATCCACTTTGCATTATCGTAAGATTTCCTTCTTACTCAAGTGTGAATAATATCCACTGTTTGCATCTGCCACATTTGCTTTATTCATTTATCCATCAATGGACATGTCACCTCACTTTCCCCCTAATTCTTTATCTGAACCCCAAAAGCAAACAAGTCTCAGCTTTTCTATCCTTTCCCTGCATATCCGAAATCCAGAAAGTCAAACCCGCCTCCCCTTCCCTACACAAAACCAAGCTTGGGAGATCTCCAGGCAGATGCTACAAGATACCCAGCTTCCGTGCACCCCATGCTCTGGCCCCTTGCACCCATGTGTCTCTAGGGCTTTGGGAAAGAGTGAAGCAGGAAGTATGAATTCTAGTTAAGAGGAGGAGAGGAGGGTGCAGAGAGGTCAAGTGACCAAGGTCACACCGTTAGTAACTAGATGATTGCAACTCTCCCTGCCTTCCCTTCCTCATCTGGAACATGGGTTGATAATAACATTTACCTCATGGCTATTTTGGTGAGTGGAATGTATATAAAACCTTTGAAACACCCAAAACAAGAAGAGGAATGAGCAAGAAATCCAGATTAGATAACTACTGTGTGGTAGTGAGCCTCACCTCGTTCCACAGTCTTTACCTGAGGATGGATTGGTGATTGCTTCTCTTTTACCATGGACCAACCATTCTTCTTAACCAATTCAACTCTCTCACCTTGGGTTATTTACACCAATGCAACCCTTTGACTTATTTTATTGTAATGTGCTTATTACAATGATTGCACGCTTAAATGTTTGTGTGCAATCTCCCAAACTCTAATTGCTCTGTGCTGCCTTACCTCAAAGCTGTTGCTAGAATCCATTTTTTATTCCAGAGGAATAATTAAATGCAATAATGTCCTCCATCCCCATTCAACCTTGGGTATGGTTACAGCCAATTTCAATCAGGTAGAAAGATGCTAAACACAGTGTGGCTCCAAGAGGTAGGTGACATGACCCAGGCTGCCCTTGCAGACACACCTGGATCTGTTACTACCTTTTCCTGGGTCTCTAATGTTTAGACTTCTGGATTGGTTTCTATTCAGTGACCTGAATCCCAGCCCCTGGGTCTTATTTCTGAGAGGTGGGGGTACATCACTGTGTTTTCAAAGATATCAAGTTAGAGATAAAACTTTGCTCTTATTGTTTGTGTAGGAAATGCGCCCAGCAGGGAGGGGGGTGGCTTGTCTCGCTTT